GACCTGAGCCGAAGGCAGTTGCTTAACCAACTGAGCCGCCCAGGCGCCCTTATTTTATTTATTTTTCTTATTATTTTATTTTAATCACACAGAGAGAGAGCACGCACAAGCAGGGGGAGCTGCAGGCAGAGGGAGAAGCAGGCTCTCTGCGGAGCAAGGAGCCCGACTCGGAACTCGATCCCGGGACCTTAGGATCATGACCTGAGCCAAAGGCAAACCGACTGAGCCACCAGGGCGTCCCGCGTGTTGGTTTTAGACAAGGCTTGCGAGACAGTCCAAAACTCAGAGCAGTTCTCTGGCCGGCTGCTGTGTCTTCCCCTCTACCTCAAAGAGGTGACCTAGATGGGGTCAGTTCCCCTTCCATTCACTCGGGAGGACTCCCCCCCACCCCGCCCCGGCTCTGTCACCTCTGCAGCTTGTATGTATCCAGACTGTGCTCTGCCGACTCCGCACTGCACCCTTTCATAGACAACAGTGATTCAAACAAGTGACTGAATCCCTCTTAACTCTTGTTGGGCACGCCTGTATTTCGTTCTTTTCTTGCTGGAATGCTTCCTGCAACAGTGTTTTCAAAGAGGGGCTCTATATGAGACACCTTCTGATTCTTTAAATACCTGATAATTTTGAAAAAATAAAATAAAAAAAATAAATACCTGATAATTTAGCCAGAAATCAAAATCTTGGTTCAAAGTTCTTTCTCTGCAATACTTTAAAAATAGTATTCAACTATCATCTTAAATCCAGTGTTGCTATTAAGAAATCTGAAGGCAATCTGATTTTTGTTCCTTCCTCAGCCCTCTGCTATCCAGGTGCCTGGAATACAGATGTGATGGCTGGCGCTTTCACTGCCAGTTTGGATTATGACGATGAGATGGGGGAATAGTGATCTGGATTGAAACCTGAGCCCTCAAAGAACTGGTAATACAAAGTTACTCTATCAGCCATGAACGGTCCACCTCCACACTTCTACAAAAGGGAAAAATAAACTTTCATTGTGTTTGGAGTCTGTGTTATTAGCATCTGAAATGAATCTTAATTCAGGTATTGTAAATCTGCTGTCTTAAACTTTCCAGATTTCTGATTACTTTTCTGAGTGATTGATGGTCTCCTGGATATCAGCTACCTTGGCTACCTTAAAAGAGGCTCAAGCCTAAATTCTACCTTGTTTCCTCCTGGGGTGCTCAAAGAACGGGATGGGGGTGGGGGGGTGGGGACGGGGTAATTGCCTCTGGCATTACAATGTAAATTTGGTTACCCCCCAGGTGCCTCTGACCCCCCAAAACTTACCAGGCACCTTTCTCAGGGAACTTCTGGGCACTCTCCCCTGGCCACTACTCTTTTCATGAGCTAGGTCATGTGGTTGGAATGCCCTGACCCAAGCAGGGGGGAAGAAGGACCAGGACTGCTAGGGGCTGCCAGGTCTGGTCGTTGTTCTATGCTTCTAACCCCAGCCTGATATTACCATTCCTGACTAGCACAACTATTTTCTGCCTCAGAGCATCATGGCAGTGACGGCCATAAGGCTGGGGCTGGGGGGTGGGGGCTGGGGCTGGGCAATGATCTATCCAAGTCAATGTAGGCAGAGAAAAGTATACATTCCTTACAAGACATTCACTCAACCTATCCCCTTCTACAGCACCCAGCCCTCATGTTGCAGGGGCTACCCTTTCCTTCCCACACTCCATGACCCAACCCCCTGCTGCCTCCGAGGAAGTAGGATGGGGGGGAGGGGGCAGGTTCTCATGGTTTTTACATTTCTTTCTTAATCCTCATCAAGGTCCCTCTTGCTTCTGTGGCATCTTCAGGATTGTACCCACAGGAAGGGGTCAGCATCTCCAGTATGTGACCATTTTGTCAGCCATGCATCACTTTTCTCATAGTACCGATCACCAACTGAAGCAGTTATTTATGTGTTTATTTGTTTGTTTGTTTGTTTTTCTCTCTCTCTCTCCCAGCGCTCCCTAGAACAGCCCCTCCATGAAGGCAGGAATTTGGCCTGTTCCCAGCTGTCTCCTCAGCACTGGGCACGGTACATGGCAGAGATGTTCAATAAATACAAGATGAGAGCTGGTGTTAGAACCCAACCCTGATTCTGGCTCAGGGCTTCTTGCTCCAAATCTGGGGCTTTTCCTACCCAAGCCCCTGGATCTCTGCCCTGAGCAAAGACAGTACACAGAGGGAAGAGGTTTATATTAACTAGACTCGCAACAAAGATACGGGGTCCTTACTCCAACATTGGCTAAAACAACTGCTGGATAATTAGACTTAAAGCAGAGCTGCTTCTACATCTTCCAATCCCCATTGCTTGCACCCAGTAGGTGCTCAAAAAAGGTGTGTTCTATTGAATGGACATACAAATTCTCTAAGAGGAGACATTTCAGCATAATTATACGGGACAGGGAATAGGGTAACTGAAGAGCGGATTAGGGGTTATATGGAGAAGGAGACGCTGAGCATGAACATGCTCTGGACCCAAAGGGGTCTTTGGTCTATACAGTGTATAACAAAGTGGAAGTAAAGAGCTTTGACCAGCTTGGTCCAATGCTGCAGGCATGAACCGCATGCAGTTATTTACATTTAATTAACATTAAATCACATGTAAAATTCAGCTCCTCAGTTGCACTAGCCAGATTTCAAGTAATAATAGTCACATGTGGCTTGTGGCTACTGCATTGGACAGTATAGATAATATAAAACATTGTCATCATCAAAGAATGTTCCATTGGACGAAGCTGACCTAGACCCTTAGACTTAAAGGAAACGCATCTCTGCTTCTAACCTGGCCTACTGACATCCTCTTGTCACCCCCTCCACCACCCCCACCCCAGATCCCTGCACCATCAGTGCCCACATCTGCCTTCCTAAGTTTTCTGCTCTACAGGGAGTAATGCTGTCTTCTTGGTTTTCACCCCCCAGTGCCCAGGGTAATAAGTATTTGTGGAAATTATGAGCCCTCGATTAGCCTTTGTTAAATGCTGAAAGCCCAAAAGGTGAATTAAGTGTCAGAAGTTAAGAGAAGGAATCCCTGCTTCCCCTCTTTTCTCACCTCCCGACCCCCTTCTCTGCATTCCCTTTTCCGGTGCCTCCCACCAACACTCCAAAGCAGCACAGTTAGAGGCAGCCCCCCGCCCCCCGCAAGAAGTTGTGGTCCCCAAACTACACGGACTCCCCAGGAGTATCTGCTCCGGGTCTCAAACCGACCTAACTTGTTCACATGGTAAGTTTCTGTCTTCCTTCACCTTTGGCTGCCCTGCACCTAGTAGGTGCTCAACAAGTGTTTGTTGAATGGATGACGGAACCGGCGCATGGATGGATGGATAGATGGATGGACGAACGGATGGACGGCCGGTGTCCCCGCGTCCGCCACAAGGTCTGCGGGAGGAGCCACCCTCAGGGCGCTTGCGGGGGAAAGCCCCAGGCCCCCGCCCAGCCGCGCCCGGCCCGCGGGCCGGGAGTCGGGCGGGGCTTGGCCCTCGGGGGCGTG